GGTCCCAGAGTCATCAACAGGCCAATAAGGCACCAAGGAAAGGGAAGAGGCCAGTCACAGAGCACAAAAAGGCACATCTCTATGGTCCCAGCTGCTAGGAAGCTGAGGCAGGGTGACCACACATTTGAGGCCAGCGTCACCCCATCTCAAAAAATAACAATACAAGGGCTAGGGGGAAGCTCAGTGTGGAGCACTCCTGGGTGAAATCTGAAGGAAAGAAGGGAGCAAAGGAGGAAAAAAGAGATATTTAGCCAATCTGCACAGAATGCTGGAGTGTACAGGCCTCAACTCACATGCACAATGTGTAAGCAAACTTTAGAGAGACACAAAAGAATAAATTGAGAAGTCATGAAGTCATAATAATTTTTGAGAAAAAGTAGTGGGCAGCATCGTTTTGAGAAAAGTCAAAGAAATCAATAGTTGCATGACACAGTGAGGACGAAAGCACTGCACTAGGGAGGGTATGTAGAGAAAAGGGCGACTTGATCCTGTACATGTGTGTGCACGTGGGTGTGAGTGTGCATGTGTCGGTGGCACAACTCACCTCTCCCTGGTGATTGCTTTTGTAGTTTAACTTGGTGCTCTAGAGAACACTCACACGAGCAACAGTCCACGTTCCATAGTCTCTGAGACTCTGCAAAATTGATTAGCTGGTGTCTGGTGCACAGAGCGAAAAATAAAATTGTTTGTTAAAAAAAATTCTGTAATACTCAGTGATTACTTACATTTCATTTTATCATAAGATCTTAACAGGAATGAATAGTTTGATTCCTTAAATACTAAAGCAGTTCTCCCACCCTGATTTCAACAGAAATTATCTAAAATAAACATTTTTCAAGTGGACTTCAGTTTACTCCAACAGGAAATATAAAAATTTGGAGTATAAGGTGTGAATTAATGTCCTTGTGATGCTCAGAATCATTCTAGAGCTTGAAGGGCATTAGTATACATGAACACATTAAAAAGTAATTCTTGCCTCTGAATCAATTAGAACTTGGAAACTCTCAGAAAGAAGGCACATATTGATTTACATCAAAGTCTCAAGAAACATCCAGGATCCAGGCATGATAGCACATCTGTAATCCCAGTGGCTATAGAATGAGAATCACAAGTTCAAACCCAGCCTCACCAACATACTGAGCCCCTTGGGAAGAATTTAAAAAGCACTTCAATAAACAGTTAAAACTAAATAAATAAATAAAAAGGGGTAGGGATGGGATCAGGGCTTATGCACTTTAGATATGACGATGGTGGTGGTGGTGATGATGATGATAATTACAATAGTAATGTCTATTTTCTCTTCTATGACCCTGGTAATTATATTTAAAACCTCTCACAATTTTTATTTTGTCACAACATATATAAAAGTTATAAAAGTGGGCAAGATGAGAGAAAATGGACTCAAGGGAAAAAAGAGATGAAAACTCTAAAAAAGAATTAAAATGCTGCCAATACAGGTTCATACATTTTAACTACAAACCTTGTGTACTATTGCATAGCATACTTGTATGTAAAAAATCATACTACACACTAGATTTTGCACACACATACAAAGTAAATATAAGAATATGTCATCATATCGGAGAGTTGACTGCAGATGCAAAAAATATAGTGAGAAAAATTAAATCTAACAAGAAGAGATATTTAACTGGGAGAAACATGTTGCTTTCACATCTTCATGCTGAAACAATCCCTACCTCTACTCCAGGGTGCATTTTCATTACCTCTGAATAGACAAAAACAAAACAAAACAAACAACAACAACAACAACAACAACAAAAAAAACAAATGAAGGCATACACCCTTTTTACACACCTACAGTTGTTTTTTGAAAACAAGGCTCCTTGCAGAAGGGGTTGCTTGACTAATTCCAGTGACAAAGCAGGCTGAGGCAGGGGATCATAAGATCAAAGTCTACCTCAGCAACATAGTGAGTACCTAAGCAATTCAGTGAGACCATGTCTAAATATTTGAAAAAAAGAATTTAAAGAACTGGGATGTGGCTCAATGGTTAATTGTCTCAGAGCCGAATCCCTGGTACCAAAACAAGTAAAATAAAATAAAGTAAAAAATTCCCTCAAGCTTGATGAGTAAGTCTAAAACAAACTGAAACAACTGAGGGTCTCACCACATTTTTATATACAAGGCTTTTCTCCAGAGTGAGTTCTCCCATGATACTCAAAAAGCTACTGGAAAGGTGAAACTGTTACCACATTGTTTAAAGAGCAGTAGGGTTTTCCCAGATGTGAATCCTCTTTATGTCTTTGGAGGAAACCATGAAAGCTGAATACTTCCCCACATGGCTGATCCAGAGGACTTTCTACAGTATGAATCCTTTGACACAATTGAACCAAACTGGAACACCTGAGCCCTTTTTATTTCTTACTTGCATAAAATTTATTCATTTTGAAATGAATCTTTCAAGGAGTATCTTCCCAGTTCTTAGAAAAATGTGGGAAAATTAGAAGACTTCCCACATTTCTCACATTCTCAGGTTTCTCTCCACGAGTATTTTCGTAGATGAGAAGCAAAGCAGGGCTGAGATGGGAAGCTGATAGGATGTATCCAATCCTCCACATTCTGAGGGTTTTTGTTCCAGTGTGAGTGAAATGGCTAAGAAGGCACCAGGGAAAAAGGAATGATTTTCTAATTTTTTTACATTTAAAGCATTATTCAGTTAGATGTGGTGGTGTATGCCCTTAATCCCAGAGTCTTGGGGAGCTCAGGCAGAAGGATCACAAATGTGAAGCCAGACTCAGAAACTTAGGAAGACACCAAGGAACTCCACAATTCCCTGACTCAAATAAAAAGTAAAAGGGATGTGGTTCAGTGATAGAGGACCCTCAGACTAAATCCCAAGTACAATTTATAGACAGAAAAATAGATAAATAAATAGATAGATAGGTACATTTATTGACTGATTGATTCAGACATGTGAGCACTTTATTCTTTTTGAATTTGACAAGAAATATTGATTTACCACATTTCACATTCAAAAGAATTTTTCTCCAGAAAACTTACTACATGTTAATGAGTGAAACATTATTAACAGAAGACTTTGCCAATTGTTTTCATGAGTATGATTTCTCTCCACTATGGCTTTCTTCATGTAAGTGAAGCTGAGAAGATGTAACAAAGGCTTTTACACATTGTTTACAAACATAGAGCTTCTCTCCAATATGTGTTCTTCCATGTCTTTGAAGATCACTGGAACTAGCAAAGGCTTTGCCACAAAGCGTACACTCATAAGGCTTCTATCCAGTATAATTTTTTTTCATGTGAGTGAAGGCCAGACGACTGAGTGAAGGCTTTTCCACACTCCTTACACTCATACACTCATAGTTACACTGACAGGATATATCCAATCCTCCACATTCTTCTCTCCAGTATGTTTTCTTTCATGTCTGTGAAGGTTAGCAGACTTAGCAAGGCTTTGCCACACTGCTTACATTCATAGGGCTTCTCTCCAATATGTGTTCTTCCATGTCTGCAAAGGTAACTGGATGTAGCAAAGGCTTTTCCACACTGCTTACATTCATAGGGCTTCTCTCCAGTATGTACTCTTGCATGAATCTGAAGGTTTTGGACATAGCAAATGCTTTGCCACACTGCTTACATTCATAGGGTTTCTCTCCAGTATGTGTTCTCTCATGTCTGTGGAAGACAGTGGATCTAGTAAAGGATTTGCCGCACTGCTTACATTCATATGGCTTTTCTCCAGTATGTGTTCTCTCATGTCTGTGCACAGTGGATTTAGCAAAGGATTTTCCACACTGCTTACATTCATAGGGCTTCTCTCCAGTATATGTTTTTCCATGTGTTTGAAGGTCACTGGATCTAGCAAAGGCTTTGCCACACTGCTTACATTCATAGGGTTTCTCTTTACTATGTGTTTTTCCATGAATCTGAAGGTAACTGGATTCAGCAAAGGCTTTGCTGCACTGCTTCCATTCGTAGGGCTTCTCTCCAGTATGTATTTTTTCATGTCTGTGAAGGTCACTGGATCTAGCAAAGGCTTTTCCACACTGATGACATTCATAGGGTTTTTATCTAGTATGAAGTTTTTCATGTGACCGAAGGCCAGAAGACTGAGTGAAGGCTTTCCCACACTGCTTACACTCATAGGCCTTCTCTGCAGTATGCATTCTTCCATAAATCTGAAGGTCACTGGATCTAGCAAAGGCTTTGTCTCACTGCTTACATTCATAGGGCTTCTCTCCAGTATGCATTCTCTGATGTATTCTAAATAAACTGGGGTAAGCAAAGTCTTTTCCACATACCTTACATTTAAAATGTGCATGCCCAGTGTGCTTGCTCATGTGAGTTTGAAGACTTGCAAGTGAAAAGAAGGTTGGAACACAATGTTTACATTCATGGAGTTTCTCTCCAGAATGAGTACTTTCATGTCTTCTAACTAAAGAAGAAAAATGAAAGGCTTTCCCAAATACATCACTCTTCAAAGGTTTACCTCTACTATGTGTTCTCATGTCTTTTTGAACACCTGTGAGAGAAGAAAATGCTTCACCACATTGTTGACAATCATTGAGTTGCCACCCAGTATGAGTTTTTTCATGTCTTTGAATGCCACTGGAACAACTGATGACTTTACCACATAACTGTACTTTCATAAGGTCCATCTCCAGTTTTTATTAACATTTGTGTGTGAACACTTTTGAGAGAAACCAGAGATTTCCTATATTGTTTAAATTCACATGGCTTCTCTGCACATTCCTCATGTTTGTAGTATTTGTGTCCAGAATGAGATGTGATCTACCTATGAAGGAATGAAGGACACATGAAGTCTCTGCACACATAATGAAGTCACATGGATTTACTCTAAGATTTTTCTTTATTCCATTAAGAATTGGAATTAATTTGAAGGTTTCCCCACACTATTTTGTGCCTTTGAAATTTACCATATGACTTCTTTTTTTTTAAAGAGAGAGTGAGAGAGGAGAGAGAGTGAGAGAGAGAGAGAATTTTTAATATTTATTTTTTAGTTCTCGGCGGACACAACATCTTTGTTGGTATGTGGTGCTGAGGATCGAACCCGGGCCGCAC